TCCCATCCCATCCCATCCATTCCACCCCATCCATCCCATCCCATCCCATCCCATCCCATCCCATCCCATCCCATCCCATCCCATCCCATCCCATCCCATCCCATCCCCATCCCCATCCCATCCCATCCCCATCCCATCCCTGCCCCATTCCACCCCCATCTCAACCCCATCCCAACTTCATCCCCAACCCCATTCCATCTCCATCCCCAACCCCATTCCATCTCCATCCCAGCCCCATGGACACCACAAAGGATGCCTGCCACATGCTGGCTCACCCTGGGCTGTGTCCCTCCAAATGCAGCTGGGAGGACAGGCAGCAGCCAAACTGACACACATTCACCTCACATCAGGAGCACAGGTTGACTCTGTTGCGCCTGGAGATTTGGCAGCATCAGCCAGGATGGATTCTGTGCAACGTGCAATATTAATTTCGGATGATTTTGCATCCCCCAAGTGCCTGCAGGGCCCTTTCCTCCCCATCCCACACTGCCCATCCGGAGGGACCCAACCCCAAAGCAACCGCCTGGCCTGGCCCAGCGCTGCAGGAGGAACCGATGCTGGAAAACGCCGCTGTGTGATGCAGCTGCCTGCAGCCAGACATGTCCAAACATATCCTCAATCTGCTGTGCTGCTGGTCCAGCCTGGAAACTGATGCACAGAGGCTTTGCACAAGGAGGGTCTCACTGCCAGCACGGCTCAGCTGCATCCCCCCCTGCTGCAAAGGCGCCCACCGCCCTGCAGAAGCGCTTTCACCCAGCTCAGCGCATCGCCTGCCATCACGCTGCCATCTCCTCGCACCCCAAGCTCTGTGTTTGCACCCTCACTGCCCAAACCGTCGCATCGAGGCGCTTTGCACCGTGCTGATGGTGCTGCAGCACCTGAACCCCACGCATCCCAGCCCGTGCTGGAACCCCGGGGGAGCCGTGCTGTGCTCGGACCTTCCCTGCTGCGGGCTGGGGGGGGCATTTTGCAATGGGGCCAAACGTCCCTGTGGGCGCTCTGCAGCTCGCTGCATGCAGGACATGCACAGGCTTGTTCCTGCTGCTTGCTGAGCTCAGCCAAATGCTGCTCCCCGGCCCGGCTCGCTGCTGGAGGGGTCCGCTGGCAGAGCAGAGGCCACCCCCGGGGCAAAACTCCGACAAGAGCGCCCTGGAACCCTGCAGGGCCGGAGCTGAGCTCAGGGAGCATCACCCGGAGCCAGCCCCCCCCCCCCCCCACCAACCCCCGTGATTCCCCCGGGGCTCCCCGTGATTTGCAGCGTCCCGCGGAAATTCCGCGCTGCGGTGACCCAGGGATGCGGGATCCCCAAATCTCAGCAAAGCCGTCTTGAAGGTCACCGCATCCCTTGGAGCGGCGGGGGAGGGGGGGGGAATGCATCGCGCTGGAGGCGACGCCCCGCGTTCCGTACAGGGGTCCGCGCAGCCCCGATGAGGGGAGGGGAGCTGGGGGGTCCCGCACCGGGAGATGGGAATCGCCGAACCCCCCCTGATAACAGCAGCACTGCGGGCGGGGGGGGGGGGGGAAATCCCGGGCGACGCCGTGAGGCCCCTCCCTGCCCCATTATAAAGGGCGGAGTGCGGCTCCGGGAACCGCAGAGTGACGCGGAGCGCGGGGTGAGTGCGGGTGTGCGGGGCGAGTGCGGGTGTGCGGGGCGGGGGGGAGGAAAAGAACAGCGACAGCAACAGGGGGTGATTGGGGAGGTGGTGATGGGGTGCCTCGTCCGCTTGAGGCGTTGCGGGAGCTGCAGGCGGTGCCGGGTTCGGGTGTCGGTTGCGTTCCTTGCCGGCGTCCCTCGGAGTCGCTCCGTTCCGGGCTCAGCACGGCGCGGTCTCTTTGGGCGCGGCAGCGGTGCGGTGCGGCGGTTCCTCCCGTGTGCGGGGCTGCGCTGAGCGCTCCGTGCGGAACCGAACCGGGTCCGCCCCATTCCCCCCCCGACCCCCCCCCCCACCTGCCGAGCCGCCGGGACGTGCTGAGACTTGCCTGGCGCTGAGCTCGGCCCGCTGATAGGAAGCGGCTGTTTTGATGGGGGGGGGCGGGCGATCCGTCGCCCTTGGGGGCCGGGGGGGGGGAGGTGGGGGCAGCCGCGGCCGGGGCGGGGGGGGGGGGGGGGGGGGGGGGGGATGGAGGCTGCGCACCTGTGTGACCCCAGCTTTGGGTGGGAGGTGACAAAAGCTGCTGTGTCACTTAGCAGCACCGGCCTCACACCGCGCGGGGATCCGTGTGGTTTTGTCCCATTAATGCATTTCTGCCCGGATTTGATGATTTTCCCTCCCCCCCCCGCTGTACAAAAGCATCCCATCCCGGCTTTGCTCTGATAACCGCTCACCCTATGGGGGTCTCTCTGCCCCTCGTGCGCTTTGGAAGGAGCACAAGCTCATCCCGTGGAAGTCAAAGCTGTTGGCATTGATTTGAAAGAAAACAAACAGGCTCCTTCCCCCCCGGTTACCCAACAGCTCCTTGCAGACAGGAGGTGCTCGGTGGGGCTGTCAGGCTTGTGGTGAGTTCTTGCTCCTGTTTGAAAAGTTTCCTTGCCACTGGGCTGGGTTCTTCAGATGAAGAAACCAACCAGAAAAACAACATCCTCATTGCTTCACCTGCCCCTGTGCCGCTTTGCTCTGCCCTATGGCCGAGACCATTCACACCCCTCAGTGTGAGCCCGGGATTGCTGGCAGGTCCCACGCTGTGCACAGCTCTGCCCCATTCGCCTCCCTGGCCTCACATCCCTCCTGTATCCCCCTCCCCACAGCCGCAATGCCGCTGTCGCAGAGCAGAGCCGGGCCGATGCCGTGCAGCAGCAAAGTGTGCAGGAACCTCTTTGGCCCCGTGGACCACGAGCAGATCCAGAACGACTTTGAGGAACTGCTGAGGCAGCAGCTGGAAGAAGCTCAGCGGCGCTGGAACTTCAACTTCGAAACGGAGACACCCCTGGAAGGGCATTTCAAATGGGAGAGGGTCCTGCTGGCAGAGCAGCCCTCGCAGGGGTGTTTCAGCTTGGCCAAGGCCACCAGCGGGGGCGATCACGGGAGCTCAGCACCCCACAGGGTTCCCCCCAAGGATGGTGTCGGTGGGGCTCATCATGGGGCAGCTCAGCAGAGCTCAGAGCTTGCCAGGGTCGGTTCTCCACAGCGCTTGAAACGTGGGCAGACCACCGTCAAAGGTGAGTGGTGGGGGTGTGATGTCCCTCTGGGCGCCGCTGGAGGTGTTGTGGGAGGGACTGGGTGCACTCACAGCCGTGGACCAGCCTCAGTGCATCCCATCTTTTGAGGGGAAAGGCTGCAGACTGGCTGGGGGGTGGGCAGCAGGACTGGGCTCGGATGTCCCATCAATAAAAATACCCCAGAACAATTCACCACCTTCAGCTCCTTTGGCCAGAAGTCCTCAGGCTCAGCAATGGAGATGTGGTGAGAGCGAGTGATGCAGGGCTCTGTGAATGTGGACCTTTGGAGGTGTGAGTGCACCTGGTTGGGGTGCTGCCCTGGGAACAGCCTTCTCCTTCTGCTCCCTGATGCCTCCCAATTTCTCTTCGTGCCCTGCAGACTTCTACAGCTCCAAGAGAAGAGTTGTCCACGACAAGCCCAAGCTGTGACTGCCGCTGCTGGGGATGGATGCGGATGCTGACGTGCCCTGGGGGTGTCGTGGCTCTTTTCCCTGCCCTGTGCTGTCTGAGCTGTCTGTATGAAGCGATGCTGAGTCTGTAGTTCCCTATTTATGAGTAGCTCTGGGCTCCTGAGGGGCCCACACTGTGTGCAATGTATAGGAGGAGCTGACGCTGGAGACCATGGAAAGGACTGAGGGGGACTGGAATGCAACAAGCGGGGCTGAGTGTCCCCTGCCCTGCGTTGGCGTGTGCCTTGCGGCATCCTGGTGCCCAGCACTGCCTGTTGCCTGGCATGGAGCAGCTCCAAAACCCTCAGTCTCACTGGTGTGGATCACGGCTGGGTGTGAGCCCTGCATGGAGCTGCTCCCAGTGACTCAGCGATGCATTTGTCACAGAGTGGTGACAAACGTGCTGGAGGTGCCCCGTGGGGCCAGCGCTGCTCAGGAGGTGCTGGGCTGCTCCAGGCTCTGCTGCCCCATGGCTGGTGCTGTTCCTGGCGTGCTGTTGGCTTGCTGCGCCTCGTTCGATGCTGACACTAAGCTGGATGGAGAGCTGCTGCTGCTTGGCACTGCCAGGCTGCTGGAGGGGCGGAGAGCTGCTCAGCAGCAGCTGGAAGAAGTGACGGCCTTCTCCTGGACTATTTCCTACTTTGGAGCTGGGGGAGAGGACCCTGGCCTGGCACTGCAGAGCAGCTGCTGTTGTCTCTGTGACCCAGGGATGTCCTGGAGGATGCAGCCCTGCTCCGAGGCTCTCGGTGCTGTTGGATCTCAGCACTTTCACTGGGTTCCCCTCCTGCCCCTCTGTGCTGGGATTCGAAGGGGCGCAGGGTGATCCCAGGCAGAGGAGGTGGGCGCTGCTCCCAGCTCGTACCGTGATGCACTTTGCTGTCAGAGATGCTGGCAGCTGCCCAGCACTAAATGTTTATTTATGAAAACGCTATTGAGGCTTCTTGGAAGGGGAAATACCTGTTTGTCTGTGAGTGTAACTGAATAAACACTTGTCTCATGGAAGGGAATGGGTGGCTGTTGATGGGAATAACTGCTGTGGAGTGTACTGGGAGTTGGGGGGGAGGGGAGGGGGTGTTGTATGTGGGTTGGGGGTTGCTTTAGGGGTGCAGCACCCACAGAGCTGCAGTTTCTATGGGTCTGGTGGGGAAAGGAGCTGTCACATATCTGGGTGATGGATTGGGATGTGGGATGCCCAGCTGTGGGATGGAGCCTTTTGAATCTGGCTGCTGCCGGTGAGGACAGGAATGGGGGCTTCTCCTGGGGGGTCTGGGTGGGTTGGGGTCCGTGGCTGAGCCCTCTGTGGTGCTGCAAACAGGAAACGCGTGCATACCGGCAGTTGAGTGCAACCCCAAAGCGGAAGGCAGCCTTGAGTAAGAGAGAGAATGACGGTGTGGGGCCGGGAGGTGCGCAGCAGCAATGCAGTCTGTGTGGGGCTGATGTCCCCTCAGCCCTGGGGAGCCCCACGGTGCAGCCAGGCAGCGGCATCCCGAAACTGAGGGCGCATGGAGGAGGTGAGCCTTGCTCTCAAGGGGTGGCTGCTCGTGCTAATAGAGAAGTGGGGAAAAGAAGGGGGGTTTGGGTGTTAGGGACGCAGGGTTGGTGCCTGGCCCTGCACCCGTGGGGCTTCTGGCAGCGGTGACCCTCCTGCCGCCCCTCAGCAGGAAGCATCTCAGACAGCCGCCGGTTTTTAAGTCCCTTTGGTATTTATTTTACAGCTTTTCCGTGTTTGGTGCCTCCATTTCATGGCACGCAACGGGCTCAGCTCGCTCTGTGGGGCAGGGGGAGGCACCGAGGGGATTTCCTTGCATCATAACCCCCCCCATTCCCTCCCCAAAATGCTGCCGCTTTGGCTCTCTTAGTGGCTGGGACCACAGAATGGGGTACCCACATCCTGACTCCTCCCCCCTTCCCTCCTTGGGGCTCTGCGGACCTCACAGGGCCCCCCCCCCGTGTCTGTGTGATGCTGTGGGATGGTGCTGCACGGGAGTGGAAGGGGATGGGGACATTTTGGGGCCCATTCCTTATTGCCAGCACACCTTAGGGCTGAGCATTGCGAAAGGAGGGGTGGGGCTGTGGGGGGTTTCCCCTCTCTCCCACTCTTTGTCCCAATTTGGGCACGCTTCAGAGCAATGAGGATGAGAGGGTTGAGCCGGGGGCGAAGGCAGGGGTGTGAATGGAAAACCTCCCCGAGGTCACAGGAGGTGACTCAGGGCTGCGGAAGCTGGGGGAGGAATATTCAGAGATGCTGAGGAGCTCCTGGAGCTGCTTGGAGCCTGCATCACCCCCACGACCCCGCGCTGAGGATGGGTGGGAGCACAGCGGGCAGAAACCACATCCCCCACTTGGGCGCTGGGCTGTGTGCAACCAGAGAGAAGTGCCTCTTTTCTTATTGCCAAACTCGTGGCCCTTGTGAGCCGTTTAATGGGTTCCCCTCTGCAGGACCCCACTGTGAGCCATGGCTGAGCAGCACGTGGGCTCCAGGGGTCGGCGCATGGGATCCAGCCGGCGGCGGCAGCTCCGCAGGGATGCAGCTGAAGAGCCACCGTGGGCAGCAGCTGTGATGCAGAAAGTCCAGGATGTGATCCAGGAGCAGCGCGGGGGCACGGAGGGGTTCATCACTCGTGCAGATATGCAGGTAAGGGATGGGGCTGGGGGGTTGTAGGGCTCCTTCCAACACAACTGTTCAATGGTCCTGCGGTTTGTTGTTAGAAACTGCAGGAGGAGGTTGTCCCGTGCAGCACGGAGGAGCTGGAGCTGCTCTTTGATGGGTTGGATGCTGCTGGCACCGGGCAGCTGAGCGTTGAGGAATTCACTGCTGGGCTCCGTAAGTGCCAACATGGTGACTCCACGCACCCAGTGCTTTCCAATGGGGATGCTCAGTGTTCTGGGTGGCATTCAGCTGCCCGGAAGCATCTGTGGCTCTGAGCCCATGGATCACTGGGGTGGGAAGCACTGGGATCCGGGTGCTGAGGGCTGTGTTTCTACAGGGCGGTTCCTGAGTTCCCAAAAAATCAGCAGGGAGCATCGGCGGCGGAAAGCAGCATCACGGAGGAGCTGCCTGGTCCTCACCAGCCCCACGTGGGAAGAGACGGACAGCGAGGAGAAGAAACACTTTGCAGCCTTCATGGAGCAACTGGGAGTGGATGACAGATGGGAAGAGTGAGCAAAGCACCCCCGGGCGTCCCGCAGGATGGGACAGGACAGAGCTTTCCCCAGTTTGGTGCCCATGTGGGCAGAGCCGGAGCTGCCTTTGTCCCAGGGGCAGGAGCACGGCCACCCCCACGACCACACAGCCCCAGTGATAGGGACCCCCAAATGATCCATCTGTTCTTGCTGCCCTGCTGCTCTCTCCCGGCAGGCAGGAGATCTGGCAGCTCTGGGCCAAGCTGAGGGAGGATGAGCCCCAACTCCTGGGCAACTTGGAGGATTTCCTGGCCAAGATGAGGCACCGCATCCAAGAAGCCCGGAGCAAGAAGGAGGCCTTGGAGGAGGCCCTCAACAAGTGAGTCCCTGCCAGGGAGGGGCACCCAAGGAGGGAGAAACGTGGGCGCAGAGGATTCACGCTGTGCCCATGTTTGGGGTTGGGCTCCATCTGCAGTCATGCACCCCATGGCCAAAGTGCCGGCCACATTCCTGCTGGGGGAAGGAACCTCCGTGCTCTCTGTGGGTCTGGTGGGCCATGCAGTGTCCCCACACCCACATCTACATGGCACAGTTCTGACCCTCCTGACCTCCCACCCCCCCCAGACGCGTGGCTGAGCACAAACAGGAGGTGCAGCAGCTCTGCGAAGTCCTGGAGCAGCAGATCCAAGAGGAGCGGCAGCGAATGGAGCAGGAGGTGAGGGATCC